GATAGATAGATAGATAGATAGATAGATAGATAGATAGATAGATAGAGAAAAAGATTGGTGGTATTATTAGTTTGCCGCACCTTGAGAAGTGCAGCAAGGACAATGAAGGTGCAATTTTACCATGAATGACTTATGACTGTTTAAAATCTGCAAATATGCCTTTAGCGGGTATATAGAAACTAGTAAAATTTACTTTGTAGCTAACTGTTCACATTGTCACACACACAATGAAAAGTCCCTGAAAATAATTGCTTTGTTCACCTGCCAAAACAAAATGAAGAATCCTATCATAAGCTCCAAGGTGATCTTGTTGATCTTACCCAGATCTAAAGACACAATGGAGACACTGCTGACAACTGAACCCAACCCAACCCAAGAAGGGAGTTTTCCTTACTTTGGGGAGATGTGCTCTCATTTCCTGTTGTGACTCTGAGACAGGAAATTAACAAAAATCTGCTCCGCAGAAAGAGACAGAAAAAAAAACCTAGCTGAGGTCTTAAAGATGAATTTGAATCTGTTTTATATTTTGCATTCCCTGGTCAATCCCTGCATTAACATGCTAATTATATTTTAAAATAAAACCTTTCTGTTTTCATTACTTACCTTATTTTAGATCCAGTGATTAATGGGCTGGCTTTTGGGATGAGTTATATAAATGTCAAGCAGCCATAATGGGAAGGTGTTAGTCTGGAGGAGTGGTCGTTTCTAGGTGGTCTGCATTTGCCTGAAGACCATCCTAGGGAATGCTGACATGTGATGGTGAGCCTCCATGTTTGAACAACATTAAAGTACCAGAAACTCCTTTTGCATTAATGCATTGATAGAACCTTACTGATGTACTGATTGCTAGTTCCTAATATACTGTAGGTATGTGGTGTAGGCTGTAACAGTATTATAATTTACAAATAAAGAAAGTGTGTTACTGTCAAAACGTGAACGGTGGTGGAGGGCTTCTTTGAAGAGCAAAGAGTAATTTTTTAAAAGTCTAATTCATAAAAGTCTGAGATGGACAGGCGCCAGTTGGTTCCCATTCTATGCTGCCATGACCCGCCAGGAAAACTGAAAAATTGTACACCTGCTTTTCTCTAATTTTCCTTTCCTGGAGCGACTTCATTTCAGCATAATGAATACCCACCCTACGGTGATAGCTACTGTAAATGGTGTGGGTGCCTGTCCATCTCAAATTTCAAAGCCATGCTAGGCCCTTAAGGCCTGGTAGGAATTTTAAGGAGGAACCCCAACCCCCAAAAATGGGGAAAAAAAGACGTGAGGTCCCCCCTAAAATTCCCAACCAGTCCCTTTATCCGAGCCTGGCAGGGCAGGAAAGGGGACGACGACAAGTGAGCCCCCCTCCCTGCCTCCCAGTGCCCTCAGCCCCTGGAAAAGCACTTTGTCCTCATGGCAATGGGGGCAAAGGCCTCTTCCCCACAAGCCCTGGGGAGTTGGTTGTGAGGGTGCGGGCGGAGGGCTTATTCACATCTGGGTACCCCTTTAAAAAAAGGGGCACCCAGATGAGTCCCCCCTTCCTTGTGAATGAGTTAAATAAAAGATAAATAAAAAGTCCAGATTTTCGGGGAAAATCCTTTTATTTGAAATAAAAACGCAACAAAGGATTTTGACAAGTCCTTTAGTGAAACCCCCCCCCCCAAAAAAAAATTGATTCAAAAACGTAATCCTAGGGCCAATCACGACGTCCAGCATTGTCCACGACGACTCGACAAAATAAGAAATAAAAGAAGAAAAAATGAATTTAAATCATTTCTTTTAAAAATCCGACGCCCACCGACCTGTCCACTCGCGACGAACTCCAGCCACAGAATGGCATTGTGACAGACGCCAGGAAAATATAAACTGTTTACAGGTGAGCCATGATTGGGCAAAGTCATCATTACGTTGCCCAATCCTGGCTCTTCAGTGCACTGTGCACAGGTCAGGTGCAAGCCTTTACCCAATTAGGGCTTCACAAGGCACTGTGCAGTGCACAGTGCCTTGTGGGGCACTCGGAGGGCAAATAGCCCGCTGAACACCCTGATAGTTTGTGTGCTCGTCGAACTAACGATCTTCGAGTTGAACTCTTGTTCGACTCAAACATCGAGCCCATCACTACTGTTTGGGTGAAAACATAATTGTTCTGCCCTACTAATCCTTAGAAAATAACCTTCAAACTCAGTCTGAAAACTGTAAACAGACTGAAACAAAACCAGTAAAGGAAAACCCAGTACACCAAAGTGGCAAATTGTATTATATGCTTTGTGGATATTGTTTTCCTGCCAAATAATAATCAATAACCACTTAATGAAATGCACTGTTATTTTCCAAAAAGTGTGGAAAGCGAAAGTGCAAGTCTTGGCCACTGCACGCAGTTAGATTTAAATCTAACTGTAACTAGTTAAATGAGAGGTAATTTGATTGGTTCCTGTGGGAAGCACAGAACATTTCTTTCCCCCATTTTTGATAATTCAGAGACAATGGTCAAAAAATATAAACTTTTAACAAAAATTCACCAAGCAATTTACTAATAATCCATTCTGCTGCACAATACTGCCCCCTTTACGGCCAGAGAGTCCCAGGTTGATAAGAGCTAGGTGGGGAGATGTGTAAGGGCCATACACATCTCCGCCCCAAGCTTTTATCAACCTGGGACGTTCTTGTGGGCAACCGGTAACGTTGCCAGGAGCTGAGCGGGATGCCAGCCAGAGCGTCCCAGGTCTGCAGAGGGTGGCGTAACTCCTGTGCACCATCACAATGCTGCATTTGTCTTTTCTATGCTTTTTTTTCCTTTAAAACCACCTTGTGATTTTACCAGTAACACTCTTCATGTACCAAGGTGGCAACGCACACTCACTTTACTGTATCTATAGTGAAGCAGCATTGTCACCGTAGGATGGGACCGGTGAACACCTCTCCCTCGCCTTTTCTCCATAACATAGATGAAGGGGGGTTCCTTACCCCTCAGAAATAACTGAGCACAGTGGAACTGATAAGTGTGCAGCTCAAACAAGGAGCACATGAAGTTATCAGCTCACAAGATTTCTGGCAAGAGTATCACTTTTTAAACATTCAATATATTTGTATTCATTTTAAATTAATTTTAAATAATAGTTTTTTGTACCTATTAAACAAATCTAACAAAACCAAAAGAGACCACAAACGTTCAGTGTTAATATTTACATACCCTTTACCCTATTCAGCCTTAAAGTGCCAAAAAAAGAAGCCATGACTAAACCAACATTAAAGGGAATGAGTAGGATTATCATATATTACCGATTATGTTATATTTCAAAGCCACACTTGTAGAAAACAGGTGATGAGTTTTATTCAAAGCCTCTGCTGTCTGTAGCTGTCTTACAGCTGTTGTGCTAAAACAAAATAGCTTGAATGACTAAGAGGAGCAACACTTTCCGCTCGCTCTCTCCTAGCAGAGATGGGAACACCTTAGCCTAGGACTACACTGTAGTTTGCTACCAAGAGATTTAACTACTTGTTGGCAGTATCTTTATTCACAACACATTTAAACCAATGTGCAGCTAATGAAACAATGGGCAAGAAGTAGTTAAATCTCTTACTAGCAAACAGATTTGGTCAAGTCTTAGAGATACATTTATAAATGAGTACTATAGCTTTACTCTTATAAAACACAGCAATGAGCTTTACGAATGTGAATTGCACTTTGCTGGCTTTAAAAGTCTGAAGCTGGAGGAATGCAATAGAAATTAATGGAAGCCAAGAAAAAAAGCCAGGAGGAGAGTCTTGCTATGTGACACATGACCACCTCTCTCCCAATCACTGAGCTCTCTCTGCTGCATTAAGCAGAACCCTGTGGAACTATGCAGGATCCACACTGCGCCCTGCATCTTATGAATAAACTGTAAAATGCGAGTCATGGCGTGTGTAGTTTAATGGAGAATGGATAGTGATATTGGCTTTCCATTATAAATGAACCCATTGGTCAGTCTGCAGTGGCTGCCAAATAGCAGGAAGGAAATGCTTGCTTACTTCACTTCTGATCGGTCATTCACTCGGCTGCCCTCGGCAGCTTTGTGAATAGACCCCTAAGTGTTACTGTGTGTGTATCTCTCTCTCGCTCTCTCTCTCTATATATATAAATATCTAGAGAGAGAGAGAGAGAGAGAGAAAGAGAGTGAGAGAGATAATAATTTTTTTATTTGTTGTTTTCATTTTATTATTTTTTCTTTATTTTTTTACATGGTATATTAAGACAAATGCCATGATTAACAAATTACATTATAGTTTTCTTTATTAGAAGAACAGCAGTCACTGATGAATTATAAGTAAAGTGGCTGATTTTACCATATTCAGACAAACAGTCCCTGAAAGTTTTGGGGTAAAATTATTTATTTTGAAATGGTAATATATAGGACTCGTGCTGCTTCTGAGTAGTAACAACTTTGGCTTTTATTGTATGACGTTTCCCTGTCCGTGGTTTTGGACAAAACAAGGTGCGCTTCATAATCTTTTTTTTTTTTCTTTTTCATTTACCTCATGGATATCAAGGTTATGAAAAATCCCGTAACAGCCAATAAGGGGAACATAGACTAGTAATAAACATGAAAAAAACATCGACACTGGCAAAATGAACAAATAAGAGACTCTAACAAATTTTATTATTTTTTAACAGGTTGACAAAAAAAATATAGATTATATGCAGATATATTTAAAAGAAAACATCTTTGGCTTTTAAAATAAGAAAAAAAAATACAAAAAAAACCAAAACATTTTGCACTTTGCTGAGGAATATATATATTTAAAAAAAAAAAAGACTTCCATGACTGAACGTGAATGGAATTGGTGTGCTCCAGGAAGTTACTGTTGTGGAGTAGGAAAGGCTCTTCCATTATGGAGGCAGAAACACCAAAAGGAGGTCTAATTAGGGAGGAGAGGAATGCAAGGGTATAGCTTTTTTTAGTAAAAAGAATTATTTATTTCCTTCCTGAAATAAAGAAGACAAAAAAGACAAAAAAAAAAAAGGTAAAAGGATTAAAATTATAAGGAGAGTCCTGTCCTTGTCCGATATATGCAGGCGGAAGCTGTCACTGTGAATTAATTGATTTGATCCCCTAGATACAATCTTTCTTCCGAAACCTTGATTTCAGAACAAACACAAACGTAACAAATTAAAAAAAAAGAAATAAAAAAAAAACACAAAAAGCAACTACAACAAAGGCAATGTCTTGAAAAAGTGGAAAAATATTGAGAAAAGCAGTTTGTGGCATCAAGAACAGATCAAATCAACGTTCCCATGCAGGTGGGATAAAGATTTCAAAATAAAGTTGGCTACCAAGAAGAAAAATGAAAGGATTGAAAACAAAATTTATAAAAACTGGATTCTTCTATTTTTTAAATTGAGGTTATATACAAGTGGCTTGCACTGGAATCGAGTGAAGAATGTGTTGATCTTTGACTATTTGAAAGGCAGGAATCTGCCATGGATGCAGTAGAGCATCAAAACAAAAATAACAATATTAAAAGGAACTGGAAAGTTATAACAAAACAAAAAAAAAGTAAAATACTATTTAAAGATTGCATTTTCCTAGCCAGCATGTGTTTGCATGTTATACTGTAACAATGATATTTAATGTTATATGCAAAAAAAAGGTATATTTTCCTTCCAGACTACAAAATCTGACAACGTATAAATTTAGCCAGCCATTTTGATGAGTACCTTAAAGGCACTATTTAAATAAGAGGAGTGTATGTAATTGAATATTACATTAGACAAGTATTCTGAAGGTGCTTCTCTGTGTGAATACTCTGCTGTTAGAATCAAAGTAATACTTCTGGGATGCATTTCCACTTCCGAACACCAGCGTCCTGGTGTTTTTGTTTATTGAACGTTAGATGATGAGTTACTGGTTCCAATGAGTAATTTATCTTTCTCACCCCTTTGTTTGTTAGTCACAAATGATGGCTTGGAAAGGGGTTTTGGTTTGCTGTTGGTTCATTCTAGACTTTTGGAGAGAAGAAGAAGGAGAGAAGGTAGCAAAAGGTCAACCATGTTGTTTGCCCTAACTTCTAGTCTCACCACATGGTGACCGATGCATGATTGAAATGCATAACACTGGAGGAGTTATGTTTAAAAGGCATTTGGGAAAAACAGTCATAATAATATTATTATTATTATTTTTATTATTCATAATAATAATAATAAAAAGTAGTATTATTTTTTTCAAAATCTCACATTGACATTTACAGGGCACAATTATGAGAGATTTGATCTATAAGCGTCAACTTAAGCTCTCCCATAGCTAAGGGTTTTTTAACAGTTCTAAACAGGGCATACCTACTATACCTCCCCCGTGGCTCCATATCTTCAGAGCTGTATAGTTCAACATGCCACATATTAAATACATTACATACATACATTCCTTTTTTGCATACATAGAATCGGTCATATCCATCCTTTCTCCTATAGCAGCATTCCTACCACAGTCATATGCAAGCCAGGTATTATCCTTCTGTTTTTTGTTGTTGTGGGGAAGTAAACTTAAGAACCTGAGCAAAACCCAACTAACAGCTAGAAATATAAATTCATAAACTCAATAAGCCCATCTAATTTAGCACATGTAGTTGTAATTCCAAGTTATTAAATATTAATTTCATATCTTAAATTTTAATGAAATATTAATGAAGAAAAAGATGGTGGGAAAATAATGGCTTTCTACTTCCTTGAACTTTTGTTGCCCTGGCCCTAATCCTCAGTAATCTATACCGATGTTATGTACAGTAAACTTTTTATGATAGATTCACTGATTGACACTGATCTAGAACATGTATGCAGATCAAGAGTTCCAACCTTACTGGGTACACACTTATTCTGGGTTAGTGACTCACAAAGTGAAGAAGCCAAAGATGATCATACCAATAGGCAACTAGAAGCTTCAGAAAAGTTGCAGCACCTGTATTTCTGCCACAAAAGGTTAACTTTAAGCAGAGATAAAGGAAATATAGTTTGGATTATTTCCACTCTATGGAGCTTCCTATAAAATACTTTGAGATAAAAAATAAAAAAAATACTTACCTTGGCAGAAGAAGCTACTGTCTTTGGATCCCAAGGTAGACAACCAAAGGAACCAAATGCCTAGGCCTCAGATTTACATGATCCCTACCGAAGGGTAAGATCAGAGGTTTGATTCTCTAATCCTCCCATTCAGCAGACCGCAAATGGCTAGATGCCTTGATAGTATGTGGATACAGGCGAAATTTTTATTTGCAGCTAGATTCTCTAACAGCTTTTGTGTGTAATTATTCTCTACAATAAGGAAGAGTGGACAGCTGTGAGTGCCCCATGCTGCTATTTTATTTATAGTGCCTAATATGACCAATTGCCTAGGCATTGAGTCACGTGAGCCTGACCTGGGGCAGTGGCTAATTCAACTTGGGATCCTAGGTAAACATGTTCCTACCTGTTTATTAAATCAAGGGGAGAACAGATACCATCACGAAACAGTAGACGGTGGTTCTCCTCAACAACATGAGGACATGTAATGCCACTAAAGAGCATTCTTATGCTCCAGATAAGTTTCTGGCTCTGGCTAAAAATATAAAGTAATTACGTGAACTATGCATCTCACGTGATGCCTGCAAGCAACACTTAGTATCGTTTCCATGCTTCACTGCTAAATTTAGATCTTTTCTGAATCACATTTAGAATGCACACATGGACAGTGCACATACATACATTTTACTGATGCCATTAAATATCCCCAGTCAGATCCATTTTTATTTATACTTCATTATTTTTACATGTATTTGCACACAGAAGCAAAGCAGTGGAATGTAGTTGCTAGCATTTTCAGAAATTTGCATCTTATGCTCTTTTTTGTGCGTTGCGTCCTTTTACTGAAATAAATATAGAACTGCACATGTCCATAAATGAAATGATATTTTGTTTTCTGCTGTCTGGATCAGTAGTAGTTGGTGCAGATTCTTTCAGTGTAGACATATCCCAGGGTTGCTCCCAGGGTTGGAGGATTATCAGTGCAAAATTAGATCTAGTATAGAAGTAATATCCCTGTCTGGGGAAAGGGTTTAGGTTAATAAAAAATATTCATAAAAGAATGCCGTACCACACATGTTATAGTGAGCCATTTTTTCATGTTCCTGTATTTATGGTTGACGCAACCTGGTGATCCTGTCAGCTTTAAGCCCAGTGGATCATTTTGGTAAAGGACGAACAGCACTGCTAGATCACTGCTGAAACTTCAGCAGTGTTGTCACCCTTTTTCTGCAGCATGGGTACTTCATAGCCCAAGCATTGTCAATCTACGGAAAGTGCCAACAATGCTAGTCGTGGTCCAGGTATTGTCAAGTGATATGAGGGGCCCCCAGCAATTGCTGTACTAAATGCAGATGGAGCTAGTGCATTTATGTGACTGCGCATAAAATTTACCAAAAGAGGTATTCTAAAATCTTTTTTTTGGCAGCATTGTTTAGATATCAGTGTATCACTCACCAAACACTAAACTGACATAATTGTCGTATTCTAACATTTACAAAAACTTTGAGAATAATAATAACTTGTTTGTTGCTGTGTTTTTGAAATGATAAATTAGTTCCCCCAGTGTGATAAATTAGGTGGTGTCAAAACAACCAGACAATTGTATCACACCAAAATCAAAGACATAAACAGTTCTCCTATTGGGTTTTGTTGACAATTCTAGCCTAAAGGTGCCCATGCACATTGGAAATATACATCAAGAGAGGTTATTTTTGTATATCAAATTGCCTTGCAGCCTAAGAATGTAGGCATTGCCACTGGTGCAAGTTCCAGAGCTGTCATGCTGACAGTTTTACTATTTAGTACAGGGGTAAGCAATTCATTTTCTTAAGAGGCCACATGAGAAACTGGGACTGTTGTGCAGGGCTGAACCAATAGCCTGGACCTAACTCTGCTTAATATTAATGTTATCGCTTTATTAAAAGCAGTAAATTATATGATTTAAATAATATCCCCATTAGAGTGCCCCATTGCATTGTTGGTCCCCTTTAGAGTGCCCATTTATGTTATTGTTCCCACATACCTTATTTTCCTACTTTTTTTGTAGGCCAGAGGCAGGAGCTGGGAGGTGGAGCAGGCTGCAGGAGGAGACGGAAGAAGATACGCTTCCGTCCTCCTGTAATGAGGGGGTGGGGAACACATTTGATGTCACTGGTTGCTAGGACTGCCAGCGGTCCTAGCAACCAATGACTACAGAGGAGGTGGACACCTGACATCATTGGTTGCTACGATGCCAATGAGCAGCTATGGCTGGCATTGGATACACCAAGTGCTGGTCGGTGATCGAAGTCTAGACTGAACCACCACTCTGTCCGTATCTGGGCCGCATGTGGCTCAGAGGCTGTAAAATGCCCATGCCTGATTTAGTGAGTCACAGGAATTGATTTACTAAATGCAAATAGGCTGTTCACTTTGCAAAGGAATTTTCCTTTAGCTTAGTGAGTAAGGTGAAGTTCTGTCGACATCTATCTATCTATCATTCAATCATGTGCAAGCAAACTTATCTTCTCTTTAATTTTCTTTGCATGTTGAGTATTTTTTCCATCATGTTTACTAAGCTAAGGGAATATTCCCTTGCAAAGTGAACAGCCCATTTGCCTTTAGTAAATCAACCCCTGATTAGCATATGTATATTACATGTTTGGATACCTGATGTTCAGATGCATTTTCCAAGTCGAAGGATTGATTTACTAACAGCTAATAAGCTGTCCACTTTGCAAAGGAATTTGCCCTTAGCTTGGTGGATGTGGTAATAATTCACTTTGTGAAGAATAACCAATCATGTGCAAGGAAGATTTAAAAAAAAAAAAAACAGTATTTTTACTTCCACATGATTGGTAGATTGAAGTCAGCAGAGCCTCATCTCATTCACTGAGCAAAGTGAAAATTCCTTTGCAAGTTAACAGCCTATTTTCCTTTAGTAATCCAACCCAAATTACTCACCAAGTATTGGAGCAAGGATTAGGATAGTTTGTACCTACAAAGAAAAATCAGCAATGGCAGATCCTATTTTCCTGTCTGACCAGCTATTTTAAAATATAATTTTATATCTTTCAAAATCATTTTACATATATAAAAACAATCATATTTACATGGCAGGATTTCATTTTTCATTTTCTTTTTTTAT